CAAAAAAAAATTGATATTGAAAATGATCGGATTTTTTAATTCTAGCCAAAATTTTAAAGTTTGAAATTCAAAAATTCGTTAAAATTAGAATTCTAAAAATTAAAGCTCAATTACATACTTTGAATAAATAATTTTAACTTGAAAGTTGCAGTATTTATAACAATCTATTTGAAAACAATTAAACGAAGCCATGCACCACTATAGTGGTATTAAACTATAGTTTGATATTTTGGAATTTTGTGTGTGACTAATTTTACAATGACAATCAATGAATAATTAAGAATAATACATTAAATGTAATTCAAAAGCAAACTTACAATATAAGTCATAAATTTATTTCAGGCTATTAATTATATATCACATATAAATATTAAAGCAAATTACAGTCAACATTAATTATAGCTATAAATAATAAAATGAAATATTTAATTCTCTACTATACAATTACATTAATGTGCTGATAAACATTTTTTGATTATATATTAATTTTATAACATAAATATAAAACTAGCTGTAAGTGGAATTCTGTCTTGAGGCATTTATGGCATCGTGCCTTAAGGCAAATTGCTGGAACTTCCCGTACCGAAATGTTCGAGGAATACTGAATGTTTTCAAATAGATTATTATAAATATTGTAACATTGTCTAATATTTATGAGAATTATATAAACTGAATTGCAGAGTTGAAAATATTTGTAAAGTATATTAGAACTATAGCCAGAATTAAAAATAAAATCTGAAATATTTTTGATAAAACTAAAAAAAAAAAAAAAAAAAAAAAAAAAAAAAAATTGAACAAAATTTTTTTTTCCAAAATCAATTATTTTGTTAAGACAAGCAGAAAGTTCTTTGAATCATTTAAATCGGACGCTTAGTTCTCTCAAAAACTGCCATTTTTTACATATTTAGCTCCATATCTTCGAAATGGCTGGGCCTGCCTTTGCCAAAAACTAATAAGCACTTCTCCCAATCATTACTAATTGAATGCTTTTTAGATCATTCAAATCAGATACTCCGTTCTCTCAAAAATTCGATTTCTATTTTCTGCACTCTTTGCTCCGTATCTCCGAAACGGCTGGACCTGCCTTTGCCAAAAACTAATCAGCTCTTTTCCCTATCAATAGGAATCGAATGTTTTTTGAACCATTCAAATCGGTTGATCCGTGCGCCCTAAAACGTGACTGGAAATTTGTATCCATACATACATACACACACACACACACACACACACACACACACACACACACACATCCATTTTTTCTGAGGTATGCCAAAACGTTCAAAAACCTTCAAAACGTCGAGAAATGTTAAAATTTTCAATTCCGATTTTCGGCCCATTACAATAACTTACCCTACGGGAAGTTAATAATATATTTTAAATATTTTATATTATTGCTAAAGACAATATATTAATGTGTAGTGTACACACTAAGAGATTCAAATGTATTAACTAAAATAAAACAAATGTTACTAGAAAAAAAAATTGTATCCATCCATCAATGGATTCAAAGCGATTTGCAGTTAACAAAACGATATCCAGAAATCTTAAGTAAGACATTATGATTGAGAATATTTATGCAACATTTTGTTCTGTTTTAACATATGTTCATATGTTCAGTATTGAACATTTAATAGAAATAATTGTATAATCTCTGGCACTATCTACTAACAAAAATAACTAATCATATGATCATATACTCATAATATATATCATAGGACATTTACAGTAAAATGTACAATTAAAACATTTTGAAATTGTCTTATACAAATTACATATTGATTTACAGTTGTTAAGTTGCTTTAATAAAATTTTCTACATTTTAAATAAGAATATTTTCCATAAACTAAGATTGCAATGGCAGAGTCCAAAGTAAGTTTAAAGTATATGTACCAAGAAATAGCAACAATTACATCATGCCTATATTTATTATTAATGATATGGCTAAATAAATATTTTTTAGTAATTGAATGACGATTCTAACAAATTCAGAAAATAATTTAATAAATTAAGTTAACAGAAGTATTTTGGTTAAAAAAGTTTGCACATGATAGTTCTATTTTTTACTTTGCCTGATTGACAATTATGCAAAATAACAATGGTCATATATGCCACTATTAGTTTACTAAATGCTTACACTCGCTAAAAGCTAATATTGAGTGATCTTATTAATTCTATTAATGCTTTAATTATTTATATATACATGTAATTATATTGTTACATTGATATATATTCTTAACTATATTATAGAGCATTGTATGGGCCACCCAAAAACAAATTAAGTTAAAAATACCTGTTTTGTTCAACTAAAGCATTTTTGGAAATTAAAAACCGTATAAAAACTTTCTTAGACCATCAAAACAATGAGTTAGTCAAGGCTCTATCATTGGTCGGTTACTATTTTGAACTTTTATTAATATTATTCCAACACGTACTAATCATTTCAATCTTATTCTTTCCGCATATGATACAAGTTTAATTATTGAATTAAATTCTTAAAATATTTTAAGAAAGTATATGGAAAAAAACAGAACAATGGTTGCTATTTGAACTAGTTTAACAAAAATGATCTCAGATCTAAAAGCAACAAAACGTCAGTAATGCCAAATAGTTAATAGAATGATGTTCTCTTCTAATTTCCTGTTGTTTCAAAATTGTAATGAATACAATATCATAAAATTTTAATTTGGAATATCAATATTGCATATATATGCATCACTAATAACTAAATTCACCAGAGCCTTAGTTAGTATGAACTGTCTTTTTTAATTCATTATTGCAACTATTACTCGCATTTAGCTTATTGTATTCATCATTTCTAAAACATTTCATTATAATTGCATAAGTAGTCAATTAGAATAAGAAATCATTCTTTCAAAATAAGAGCTAAGAATCATGTTCACTCTTAAAACCCACTGTAAACTTGTAGTTATTTATTTTTTGGTGATATAAAATTCTTACTGTTCCTTTTATAATTAAAAAATAACACTCCGTACTATAATTTGCATCCCATTTTTGATTCGCAATAAGACTAAAAAAACTATTAGAAGACTAGAGGACTAACTTTTAAACTTACAAATTATTTTAATTTAATTACTACTGTTTCAAATGCATCAACAAAGTAATGATAAACTCCAAAGCTATCACCACTTAATTACTAAAAGTAATTAGCTATTATTATGATATCACTGAATGTGTAAATTTTGACTTCAATATACTAAATTTTGTTACTATCTCGTCCTTAACTTTTTAATATTTATTTGTTATGTTTTATTAATATAATTTACTTTCGGCTCCAGCTAAGTACGTCAAGACTAAAGTATTATCAAGCTTTGTATTATCCTCATAATATCAAGACATAAAATTTATAAAAGTTTGTTATTGTAGTTATTTTGAAAAACTGTTAATTTAAGCTTGTAAATTTTATATTCATAAATAAATAAATAAATAGTATAATGGTACTAACTAAAATGGAAAATTTTTATAAAAAAGGCAACAGTCAACGTTTTTTCAAGATATTTCTATTAGCTAAAAAACAAGAGATTAATAAAATAATTTTAGGATACTTTAGAGAAATATGTTCTAAGAAAAAACAAGAAAATAAAATTCCATATCACTGTATAAAAAATGAAGAGGTAAGTAATTATTACCAAACTATTATAATTTTCTCAGCCTTTAAGTGAAGCACATCATATAAATTTTTTAACATGTATATGAGAATTATATAATAGATACATAGCAAAAATTTTAATTCATATTAATTTTTGAGTATTTTATCACATTATGATAAAAAAAAAAAATTGTATTCGTTCATTTACATTATAGATCAATTAAGATAAATTATAGTATATTAACAAACATATGATGATTTTTAGAAATAGTAAGAAAGTGAACGAAATAAAACTGTTCTATTCTGCAAAACTGAGAAACGATAATCCTCATCGAGATACATCATATGGCTTTTAAAATTCTGAAATCGGTTCAGGCGTTTTTGAGCAAATGTTGATGAAAAGTATAAATTTTGACAAATTCCAAAAAAACAATACTAATTTTTGCAAACTTTGACGAATTTTTAAAGTTAAACGAGTTGTCGTAGGGCCGTTAAAAAATAATAATAAAAATCGTCGAAATTTTTTTTTTAACAATTTATAACAAGAAAACGGCCCGGCCGATCTCTACCAAAAAATCATCAGCACGATTCCCAACCAATATCTTTCGAAGGGTTTTTGAATTTTCAAAATCGATTCAGAACTGCGGCCTATAACGTGGGCGTAAAATTTTTCACTTTTCTGCTATTTGCAAAGAAACGGTTTGGCTGATCATCGCGCAAAAACTAGAGCTATTAGCGAAGTTCTATTACTTTTTTGGAATCACGGTTCTCGAATTATTTAAAAACCACTATAATAACTTAGAAAAAAAATTTTACTATCTCGCAATTTTATTTGTTTAAGTATTCGAATTGATCAATCTTTTATTTTTTATTTAGAGCCATTGAATAATTATAAAAAACGATTTCAAACTGCATTCAAAAGAACCATTGGTAATATTTTGTTCAAATTATTGCAACTATCATTAATTTAATAAGGCTTATGTTCCAAAAAATTACTGCCTCCAAGAAATTACTGCCTTAAGCTAATCGAAAGATTAGTTTTAATTCACTCACTTTCCTACTATTATGCATATTTCAAAAGCATTATTGGGTAAGTATGATATGAAATATTCTAATAAATGTTCGATATCTTATCATTTTGATAGTTGATGCATTATATCAATATTTTCTATTCTTTACTATCATCTCTAAACTACATTGAGTATGTGATGGATCACATCATTAAATAGTATCATATTTACATTTCAATTTTCAAAGTTCAAAAATTTGAACAACATAGAATTACATAAACGTTTTTTAAAAATGTTTAAATCGTTAAATAAACTAAAAATCATTAATAAAATAAACAACATTTCAAAGATAATAATGATGCTACTTCCTTATAACAGTCTTTCATACAAATGCCCTTGTAAATGGGTCACATGTTCATAAAACTTGTGAAAATAAAGAAAAATATTTTTTCTTTTCTGGATCAATAATTATATTCATAATACCTGTCTTGTTATAGTTATTTTGCTCGTTTAAGTTCCTCATCGTCACTGTGCTCTTCCTGAAGTAATAAACTATCTGTAACAGGCCCATGGCGAGCCCCTCCACCTTTTTTGTTGCCTTGCCAATGAAATACCTTGGCCAACTGGGCAAATTTTTTACGTGATACTAAAAGGTATTTATCATATTAATTTAATTATATTGCAAGTACCACCTAATAATTTACTTAAAAATTAAATTAAAGGGTATAAAATGAGAAATGCATGAATTAAAAAAAAAAAAAAAAAAAAAACAGATAAAATGAATATTCTGCTATAGTAATCACTCACATTTTCCCATATGCTTTATTCTTTCCCTAAATTGATCTTCATCAATGTTTGCAGATTTTTTATTGGCACGGTTTGCTGCAGCTACATTGCTTTCAGTTATTGGTTGATCACTATCCAGAGCAGTTAGAAAATCCTGGTTCCATCTCAGTTCTGCCATAAATTCTTCATTTTGCAAGTACATTGCAATTCTTTCGTCTTCCAGATCAGTGTCACAAGCCAAAGCATTCTAAATATAGAAAAAAACATTAACATAATTATAGCACACCTTATATAAGCATTATCTGGTGTAAAATATAAGTATGCTATAATTTTGTGTTTTAAAAAAATAATTAAAAACTTACTCCTAACTCTGATTAGAATATTATATCTGTTTCTTCAAAAACTTGGTTAAAATGTTTATAACATAAAATAAAAAATATATATTTTTAAAATTAATATACGGTGTAAAATTAAAACATTTTTTTATAAGTAATGAAGAATTTACAGTAGTGTAATGTTATAAAGTATAAAGTATGATGTGTATTTAAATTTGCATTATTTGTTTGTAATTTAAATAAAAGTGTTTAAAAGTAAAATTATGTCTTTTGACCTATATTCATATCACCATTGATGCTAACCGGCGATTTTACACCCAAAATATTTATTTTTAATTTAGAATATGTAACCAATATAATTTTAACTCATATATTTAATAAATTATAAAATGTAGATTATACCAAATCAATAATTTAATCAATTTGCAATAACTTTTCCTGGTTGTATATATGACTGCCCGATCTTAAACTCATAATCAATTGGAGATTTTCCATCCAATTGGGGATTGTATGGCATTCCAAAAAGTGCAGATTTACCACATAGACCCATTGTTTCTTTTATTAATTAACCTTTGAAAATTTTCAAAAATTAATAACTTAAATAGCAATCTTAGAATATATTTAATCGGATATTTTATTAATATTATTGGAAGAAATCATAAAATCGAACAATTTTCGGTATATATATAAAAGTACAAAAGTACTTTAGAAAAAAAAATATTGAGGTCAAATTAAAAAAATATGAATTTCTTCTTTCAATGGACTATAAACATTTATTTCAAAATCACTTACTAAAGTTATCACAATCTCTTGTGATCACGCTGCGCTGTGCCCAACATATATATTATTACAATTTTGCCAAAAAATGGAGTATACAATGTTTATATTGAACTTGAGAATAGTTTTGAACTCAATTGTGGTACATAAAAATAGACAAATGTACCCAATATTCATATATTATCATCCTTAAGTAATTAAAAAAAATCATTATATAGCTTTCTATAAAAATGATAGTTAAGTTGTTATTACAAGTATGTGAAATAAAATACATTTGTTCAGTTTGTTTTGGGCAATAGAGTGAATTATTGCAAAAGAAAGTCTGTGATTCAGTCTATAGAGCTAATATAAATGAAACATATCTATGTATTATTTCTATTACAAAAATTATGGTATTAATAGTGCAAAGGCAATTTCAAGTATGATGTTGAAAAAAATCTCTTCTATTTGTATCTTTTTGTTTAATATATATATTTTTTTTTGTTTAATATAATAATAATAAAAAATGGTTGTATATGCCCTGTTTAGTTGTAGAATAAGTTCATATACTTTGAAACTTCTTAGAAAAAATCAAACATATTATTATGCACATAGTTCTTCTCGTAAAACAATAATACATATATTGTTTAAGCTATATAATATAAAGATAATAATTTGAAACATGTCACTCACATCTACTGAAGGTGGTAATTTCAAAAATCCACTTGGCAATGGACCCAGGATGGGAGGCTTCCAGTTTTTCAATTGCTTTAAAGGAGGAGCAGAATGTCTATAACAAATCATATATTGCAATGACTAAAACGACATGAAAAGTTACCAAGTACTGTAATATATATATTTTATATTATATATATATATATATATATATATATTAACAAAGTCTAATAATCGGGCATAACATCAATAAAAAACATGAATTTCTTTCAAAAATTTATTTTAAATCCATACGTTTCGCCTAGCCTTCATTCAGTGGAAACTAAAAATAAAATTAAAAACTAAAACAATTGAATTCGAGTGAAAAGAAAAAATAAAATAGTAAATAGTACTTACAATTAGTTAATCTTAGTGTTAAATTGGAAAATTTTAATAATACATGGTACCAGGATATGGTAATGCACTACACTATGTATTATAAACATTAAACTTGAAATTACACAATATTTTCACAAAATACTAATTTTAAAAAATCACAAATGGATAGTGTGTTATTCGTAGACTGGTTGAAGATATAATGGAGAAAGACATTTTTTAAAAAATATTTTTACCAAGATTCTACACATGTGTGGAACGAATTGCGAATCCTTTGTGCGACGCTTTTATTGTTTTGTAAGAAATTTGGAAATGTTATCTAAATAAAAGAGATTTGTGTCGCACAGCGTGTTAAGTTCATTCCGTTTATTTATTGTCTTATTGTTATAAATAGTTGAAAAAGATCCTTCTATAATTTTTCGTTTAAATAAATTTTGTTCGAATTGTAGTACAGTCGGGTTAGAAAAGTCCATATTGTGTTTTAAAGTATAAATATGGTCTGCAAGTACAGTTTTGAATTGTCTTGGATTTTGACACGCTAGGAACCACGTGTTTGTTTCGTTTGTTTATGACTCTGTCGTTATGCAATTGCAAAAATAAACCCACAGCAAATCTTCTTTTAATTACAATTACAAAATGTAAAATTTTTGGTTGAAAAAATCTATATTATGGTTTAAATTATTAATATTCTCGGTTAACATCGTCTTGAATTGTTTGGGATTTTTTGAGTTATTTTTATGTTGATGAAGACGTTTACTCAGGTTTTACATACATAATTTACCACTCATACCACAAACGTCATAAACAAACGAGTCATAAACGCTTCGACAATACGGCCCTGAAAATATAAAATCAATTTTCTATCTTAAACTCCGAACAGTAAATACTACTAAATACATAGTTTTGACAACTTGTTAAGTTATCATGTTTATTTGTGTTTTACCATCTTTGATGTTAAAAAATATATATTTTATCAATGTGCACATACTCTACCATGGATTAATAATGGTTTAATATGTTATATTAGGATACAAAATTTTAAATTGATTACCACTGAATGAAGGCTAAGATGCTAGCCGAAACGTATGAATTTTAAATAGATAAATTTCTAAAAACTCTCATACTATTTTTATTGATTTAACGCCCGACTTTTTAATTTAAATTAAACATATATATATATATATATATATATATATATATATACTGAATTCGATTCTTAAATTTTGTGAACTCCCGCATAACATGGTGTTTTTATAACACCGATTTGCTATAACAGAGTTGAGAATCGAGACCTTCTCTTATATAACATGGTACTTTTAAAGCACAAGTTGACTATAACAGGGTTTGAGAATTGAGAAAAACCCTAATAAAATAAAAAATATAGTAAAACTTATGAAAAGCAAACTTTATCTAGTCGTACAATAGCTCTATAAATGTGATGAATCTCCTGTGAAAAATAACTCATTCAAAATTTGTTATTCAAGCTCATAAACTTTATTCAGAAAAAGATCTAAACTTAACCAAACAGGTAGTCATATTTCTTAAACAAAAATTATTCAAATAATTTGAGCACAAAATTTGAATAAAGATAACTTTGCATATGCTTTGTAATCAATTAAGAAATAAATAAATATCTTTCGAAAATACTGATTACAGAAATGGAAATGAAGGTAGTACAGAAAGAAATAAAAAATATCTTTCGAAAATACTAATTACAAAAATGGAAATGAAAGTGGTACAAAAATTTGCAAATGAGCAAAGGATATAATCGCATTGGATAGCACTTGCTTGTTAATTATTATGGAAAAATATCATATAATTCATTTAATATTTATTACTTCTTAAGAAAATGTAATAAATTTATCAATATTTATTATTTTATTTATTATATTTATTTATTATAATAATTTTAATAATAATTGTTGTATAATTATAAGTAGTATGTTTTTTAAAAATATTTAAAATGCAACTCTTCTTTTTGTGCTGGCGTTGTATAACATGGTATTTTTTTGGAACTTAATTACAGTGTTATACGGCAGTTATCTGTATTAAAATTTGCAAATGCAGAAATACACTATGTCATTGAATTATTATCATCATATTAAAGCACAGAATTTATACTATTGATTGTGTTGATTAATAAAAACACATATATACACAATTGAGGTAAAAGCATTTAAAATCAGAACTTTTGATTTTGGGACATGCTCCAGAGTTATTGCAGGTAGCAAGTAGGCTTTTAATTTAATAAATTTAATAATATTTGTTGTAAAATTGTAATAAGTAGTATATATTTTTAAATATTTAGAATGTAATGCTTCTTTTTGTACTGGTCCATTATCCCATTATAAATTGGAACATAACCACAGTGTTATAAGAAAGTTACATGTAGAGTATAACCTCGATTAACTGGACTAATTGTTGTTTATAGGTATTCGCATAATCCAATGTATGAAGAATAATGATGTGAATTTATCAAAAATAACAAATACATACATAGATATCAACAAATATTAATGTTTAATAAGAAATTAACATTTCCTTATGTATGTACATATATATTTTCTTAGATTATATTACATACATATACTAAACTGCATAAATCGTGCAAAAATTCGAATTGTAGGCATTTACATACATATAACTCTGTCGCAGTTGGTAGTCCGGATAATCGCAAATCCGTATAACTGAGGTCCGGATAATCGAGGTTCTAATGTATTAAAATTTGCAAATGCGAGAATATATTTATATCATATGATAATTATCTTTATGAGGTACAAACTTATACAATTATTGATATTAATTAATGAAAAAAATACATACACAATTGAGGAAGATACATTTGGAACAGTACTTTTGATTTTAGGACTCGCTCCAGAGTTATTGCAAATAGCAAGTTTGCTTTTAGGTTCTACCACATGTTTTGGATCCTCTTGTTCAATTTCAAGCCTTAATTTTTCATTCAAATTATCTGTGCTCATTGCAAGAAGTTGATCTATAGTTGCATCTACAGAGCCTTGATTTGCTCTTAGAACTGCTTCAATCACATCATTATCCATGTCTGGAAACATTATTTTAAAATCGGACATGGCCTGAGTGAATTCAATTTGCATCGTATAAGCCATTTTTTAATAAGGTCTGATTTAACCAAGATCAATTAACAAACAATATATTTCCTATCACACATTTCCATCGCACACAAATACATGCATTCGTAATTGTTTATGAAGAACTTTATAAACCATGTTTAATATATAAGAATAATCGTAGTATTATGAGAAATGATGTTTGTTATGATTTTAATCTAATTATCGAAATCCAATACAAATAATATATTGCATGATTGGACACATGGGAACTGTCAAACTGGCAGACTTTTTACACGACTTTTGACAGCACACGATCCTAGCTAAACTGTATTGCCAACATAAAAAAAAGAATGAATATGATTGTAGGCGCGCCAACATCGTTAAAATAAAAACCCCATTTGCGTTTTGACGCAAATTGTACTTTGGTGTTTTCATTTGAACTTAATAAAACATAAGTAGCTTAAATTTTACAAGTACTTTTTCAACCTGAAAAATAGCCTTCAACACTTTCTACACTTCAATATTTAACTAGCTGGCATTGAAATTTTGCCATGAAGTCTTCCCGATATATGTAAATAATCGACTTAATCAATAAAAAATAAATTAAACTAGTGGGGTGGGTGGCATCGTGCCTTAAGGCAAATTGCTGGAACTTCCCGTACCGTAACGAAATGTTCGAAGAATACTGGATGTTTTCAAATAGATTATTATAAATATTGTAACACTGTCTAATATTTATAAGAATTATATAAACTGATAATTACAAAGTTGAAATTATTTGTTTGAAGTATATTAGAACTATAGTCAGAATTAAAAATAAAATCTGAATTATTTTCGATATACAAAAAATTAAAAAAAAAAAAAAAAAATTGAAACAAAAATTTTTTTCCCAAAAATCAATTATTTTGTTAAGACAAGCAGAAAATTCTTTGAATCATTGAAATCGGAGGCTTAGTTCTCTCAAAAACTGCCATTTTTTACATATTTAGTTCTGTATCTTCAAAATGGCTAGACCTGCCTATACAAAAAACTAATAAACACTTCTCCCAATCATTACTAATTGAATGTTTTTTAGATCATTCAAATCTGATACTCCGTTCTCTCAAAAAGTTGATTTTTATTTTCTGCACTCTTTGCTGCGTATCCTCGAAACGGCTGGACCTGCCTTTGCCAAAAACTAATCAGCTCTTATCCCTATTGTTAGGAATCGAATGTTTTTTGAACCATTCAAATCGGTTGATCCGTGCGCCCGAAAACGTGACTGGAAATTTGTATCCATACATACATACACACACACACACACATCCATTTCTTCTGAGGTATGCCAAAACGTTCAGAAACCTTCAAAACGTCGAGAAATGTAAAAATTTTCAATTCCGATTTTCGGCCCATTACAATAACTTACCCTACGGGAAGTTAATATATGAGTGATTAAAAGTATTCAGAGTGGATTTATTATACATCATTGAAAACGAACAAACACGTAAACTCGGAGTATTTTCTAAAAACAAATTTTCAAAAATCAATAATTTTTATAATTAAACCAGTTTTCGTAGGACTTTAATGGTCTAGTTTCTACTTAAGACCAAGTACACTATCGTTATACCAAATAGACGCCAGATAAACTACTCATGGTCTCAAAAACTGCGATGAATTTTTAAAATTAAACTACTTGTCGTAAGGCCGTAATATTTCAGTAAGTTCTATAAGACCATGATATATATCGCCAAAAAAAGTTTCATAAAAATTGGCTTAATTTCTATCATCTATCATCAAAAAAACAATTATAAAAATTGTCGAAAAAAAAAGTTTAATACTTTATTACAAGAAAACGGCCCGGCCAATCTTTACCAAAAACTAACCAGCACTATTCCCAAGCAATATCTTTCGAACGGTTTTTAAATTTTCATAATCGATTCAGAATTGCGGGCTAAAACGTAGACAAAATTTTTTTTACTTTTCTGCGATTTATAAAGAAACGGCTTGGCCGATCGTCGCACAAAATTGACAAACAATATTCCTTATCGAGATACATCGAGTGGCTTTTAAATTTTTTAAACGGTCAAGCCGTTTTCGAAAAAACGTCGATTAACGGCAATCGTTCGTTAAGTGTGAACGCTACCACGAATGTAGACAAGCTTTTTTTTATGTTAAAATGTGCATTAGTGCATTAATTTATGTTGTGTTTATTATAAGATATTGCTGTTATTGACAAATTTTGTAAATTTGATGACTTTAAATAATTTTGCTCTTTCCCGCCACTTTAAATAATAAATATGACGTTTCACGGTACATCCTCGAACAAAAAGATTCAAGCCCTCGCCCTGCTTTGAGGCGTTTGTTTGGAATTATTCGCGTTCGTTCGTGTTCCTGTTCGTTCTTCTTTGTATTTTCATGTTCGACATGTTCGTTCGTGTTCGTTCGTTAGGTGTGGACGCACCTTTATGTACTCGACTGGCAGACCCTTACAACCGCCAGAATGAGCTGGCTGTTCACATATACTTTCTGAACAGTTAAAAGAATACACCCTCAAATTTTGAGCCTTGTGGGAGCAGGTTATAAACAATTTTTTTTTTACATTTTCAAAAATTGAAGGGATGATGACGCCTCCGCGGAATGACTGCCAGAACAGTATTTTCAATGGACCGATAATAAAATATCATTAAAAAAAATTCTAGCTTTGTGAAAACAGGCGAGTCAAATAGTTCACTGGCTCTTACGCTATTTATATATATTTACAGAAACGTAAGTAAACAAAACTTAATCAATCGGATTTAATATTAAGGACATTGTCTTACAATTATAAGAATTATATAATTATATAATTTTTTGGAAATTTAAAAACAAAAGTTTCGTCAGCACAAGCAGAAAGTTTTTTGAAACACTCAAATTAGATGCTCAGTTCTCTCAAAAACTGTCATTTTTCACACTTTTAGCTCCTTATCTCTGAAACGACTGGGTCTGTCTCTCCCAAAACTAATCACCAACCAAGTCTTCGTATCTTTACGAATTGAATTTTTTTTTTGATTAAATCGGATGATCTCTTCTCTTAAATACTTAATTTCCATTTTCTGCATTCCTTGCTTCGAATTTCGGAAAAGACTTTCGCAAAAACTAGTCAGCCCTCATCCCCGAGAAGGAATCGATTGCCTTTTGAATCATGCAAACCAGTTGAGCGGTACTCTTAAAAACGTCGACGAAAAACACACATACACGCATCCATTTTTTCTGAGGTATGGTAAAATGCTCAGAAACCTTTGAAACGTAAAGATATGCATACATTTTCAATTTCGATTTTTGTACGATTAGAATAACTTACCCTATGGGTAATTCAATTCAAAATACGTTCCTGTCAATGAATTACCTTATTATAATTTTGTTGCGTTTAGCTTTAGTTAGTGATTTTTTAAAACTGATAGTAAAACAATTCGAATTTTGCTCCATTATTTAAGTGGCTTTTTAAATCAATTATCTCACGTAAATACATTTAATTTATATTAAATACCTTATATATTTATATTAAATATATAAAATACCATGATTACGCCTGACCAAAATATAAAATTTTTCACAAAAAATTAAGTACAGAATTAATTGAGCGGCTTCGTTGTTTCAGATTTGTAGTGATGAATTGTTTCAAATTTTTCTTCGATCCCACGCTTTGAAAACGAGCGCCTACAGCCATTTGTGTAATCCCCTCTGTGAAACTTTATATCATAATTCTAACGTGACTTCTCAGATAAAACAGATTAAATACACTTTTTGAATCATCTTTTACAAATATCATTTAAAGTTGGAGCATTATTCAGATGTATTTACCTCACAGGTTTAATGCACCTACCTTTCTTTTCATAAACAAAATTGTTGTCTAATGATTGATAAGATGCTGATTCACTCTACTTTACCATCTTATATTTTTATATTTATATATATAGTATATATATATATTATATATATATATATATATATATATATATATATATTATATATATATATATATATATATATATATATATAAAACCTTTTTAGTTAATTTTTATTACTCTTTACACTGGTACATAATCCATTCCTTTATAATTTTTCTAAATAATCTGTAATGACCATCATTAATTAATGTTAATCAATAGTTTATAAAAGAACATTGTATTTGACAGAATAAACCTGATGATGGAACGTATCTAGTTCCGAAACGTCGTTCAAATATCTTCAAAAAACATATTGTTTTTTATTATTGGATTTACTGTTCGGAAAAGAAACAATCAATATATTGAAAAAATCCAGGACTTATCTATTGAATATATATGAATATATATATATATATATATATATATATATATACTAGATGACCCGTCAGACGTTGTCCTATACCCACGTCTACAATTTTTTAATATCCTATACTAATCTTTACTATTTAGTTAAAAATAATAACTATTGTTTTTTGAATTACTATTTACACCAAACTATGAGTGATGGTAAATGTAGAACTGCTTTAAATAAAATGATCATTCTCAATTCCCACAGTTAACTCTTGAATTATCCCTTTAAACAAATATTGTTCTTTAAAATTTTATATTTAAAATTATACCCTACAATTTTTAGAACGAATTTGTTTTCAATATTTCAATTTATTTTAATGCCAATGATTAAACAAAATTTTTAGTCATATCTGTACATGTATAAATAAATATTTTTTTGTTTATGCATGACTAAAATATTGATTTCCTAAATTTATCGTACAAAACTCGTCTTCCTCTGTGATTTATTTATGGTCATAGCATATGATATAGGTTTTTAAAATGCCGTAATTTTATGCTCTACAATATTGTCTCAGGTAATTTTGCGATAAAACTGACCATTTAGCTACAAATCGCAAGAGGGTCGTTTCTTGACTTTTGACCTTGTGCCCTGTTTTTTAGCTCGCATCGGATCGATGAGGACTTTTGAGATTTCATTTATAATTGTATTTTAAACAATTTTGCCAAGTTACAGCCCATTATGAATTATAGTAACCTTTATCTTATTTTAGGCTCAAATTGACCGGGCTAAATAGCAGTCGTTTAATTTTATAATTGTATCCTATCGATTTACTGAACCAATAAAT